AACAACATTCGCATGACAGGGAGCAGAACAAAAGTAAGTAGAAACCGAAAAAGGGAAAAAAAAGAAAAATTTTACAAGTAACAAATTCAGGCGTCTGAGCCCATGAACATGATAGAAAGAGGTCTGAACTGGGAGAACTAGGTGCTAGGTCTCCGTCTCACCAATCAGATCAGTAAGTGTGGGCCACCCTGGCATCCCCGTCCCAATTTCCTCATCTGCAAAATGGGCACATTTTCTCCACCTCTGCCTACGGGGACAGCTGAAGTGTAGTAGGAGGAGGAAGGATCCGAGAGCCACAAGACCAGGATTGGACGATTCTAATCCCAACTAATCAGCCCTGTACCCACAGGACGAGTTAGCCATGCTACCTGGGCCTCCACTGCTCACCATCGTGCTGCACACCGAGGCAGACCAACCCAGCCACCTCTGAGGCTCCGTCCAGCTCTAACAGTCCATCAGCCCACACAACGTCCTGCACACTGGGTGTCTATTCCAGGCTGAGGAGACTGTGCAAATGCTGCATATGTAACAATATTTTTATGCTTTTAAGGCCAACCGTAACTCTGCTTTTCAAGCTAAAACTATCCCTCCCCAAGCGTCCACAAACATCCTTCTGGCTTCTGGCTCTAGCCCTAGCAATCAGACAGGCAACAACACTCCCAGATTACCTTTCTACCCAACTCTGGCCAGGCCTCAGGTGGGAGGAAATATCTGTCTCATTTTTTTCTTAACGTACAAATAGAATTTCCCCTCAGGCAGAGTCCGTCTCTAAATCCCACTGTGAGAAGCACTCCCCTGGGAAAGCAGCTGTCCACACCCCGAATTAAAGTGGCCAGCGCTCCCAGCAACATGTCCCATCGCCATGCAAGCCTTCAGGGCTGCGAGCCCCAGGTCGGAGCAGAAATGCCATTCTCTCTATCAGTAATGATGTACTCACGCGAGTCAGGCCCCACAGGCAGCTGGCCCTCCGCTGGCCCTCACTCCCTCTCACACACCCTGAGTCCCACTGCAAGGAGGTGGTCCCAAGGCCTGAGGGGAACAGCACTGAGACACTCTCTCTTCAGCGTCCAGAACAAGGGGCAAAGGAATGGAGGGGACGGGGTGGGGGGTGGGGGGACGGGGGCCACTTTGTTTCTGGAAACAAGAATTCAAATCCTGCTTTGCCTAAACCCTGAGTCACCTCCTTCCCTTCCAATAGATCAGTGTGGTGGGTAAACATTTCCATATATGGAGAAGCAGGCTAGAGGATGTCAGAAAAATCACCCTTCTCTCCTCTGGCACTTGAGGAGCATGCCCCCACTTATGACAATTCCTTACTCCGAGTAAATGATTAACCCCGAAAGAAGTAGAGTCTCAACTGCTCCATAGGCTGTCCTGTCACAGGAAAAAGGCTCTCCAACCCAAACAAGGAAGGGACTGGTTCGAAAGGCTTTAAGTGCACCTGAGGAATGGGGCCATCGAGAATGCAATGACATTTATGGAGTCAATCTATTGATTCAGAGAAAGGGCGTGACATCTGGGGGGGGGGGAGATGTACTTGAAGAGGCCACCTAGGATCCAGTCCACGGTTCTTCTGATGGCCGACGAGCCCCAAAACAATCCCCAGCCTTGATACCCTGACTCCCTTGGGCCAAGAATCCTCCTGGGAACTTCGTTTTGCATGAGTTATTCACAGGACAGACACCAGGCGGGAAACCCCAGAATAAAACCAGACTTTCAGGAGAACATTGCTGGGGTGGGAGGAGGAGGGTTGAATGCCCAATTTAATTTGTAAGATTACTTCTAATCAGAAGGTCCCGAGAAGTGTCTGATAACTCAACTGGACCAGTAAAGTCAGCCAGGAATGAATCTGGTCTACAATGACTTCTAGCGAAAGAGAAAGGAGGCAGATGGGGTGCTGGGGAGGAGGGGTCTGCTCAGAGAAGGCAATCCGTGTCTCGGCTTCCCAGCGGTTCTATTTCTTACAGTGATCTTGTTCTACTGTTGGCTGTAAAGGCTTTTTCTAGGTCATGTGAGCCATTTTTCAGAATCCCTGGCCTGCACGAGGCTGCTAGTTTTCATGCCCAGGGAATCTTCAAGCAGTAAACAGCACTGCTCAGGGAGCCAGGGCACCCAAGCCCTAAGCCCAGGTGAGCCACTCCTGTAGATTTTGGAGAAATCAGTTCTCCTCTTGTAGCTTATAGTCTGTCATCTACAAACTGGGTAGACAGCCCGAAACTGTCCAACTATGTGCTCTAAAAGCAGCTTCTACTTGGTCCGCCCAAACAGGCATGACACATTTATCCTGATTACTTGCTTTATATTTTTGCAAGCATGCCATAAATACCTGCAAAACAGAAAACATGTCTCGTTTATTGCATGTTTACGAAACGAACACGAATATAAGTGGCCATTAAATGAAGCAGGGAAACAGGGTCAAAGAACCTTCCACAACATGCCAGAATCAGAACTCAGTACAGAATTCCTGCCACTGCAATACTCCCAAGAGGTTCCAGAGGCAGGTCTGAAGAGGGTAAAGGGCTGGTCCTCTGTTATAACTGACTAGACATGGAGACATGTGACTTGGTGGTTCTGCAGAAAGACTGCCATCCTGTCAGGAGCTCAGAGTCCTTTCCAATACTCCAACAGGAGCATATCAGCAGAGGAAAAAGACATTCCATGGAAAATAGCTGCCCACAGAATGGCCTGGAAACTCTGAAAACCAAAGAGTAAGCAGACTATAGGGATAGGTATGAAAACCAAGAAAGAAGAGGTTCTATTTGCCCTCCATTTTGCAAAATAGCATTTGGAGACCAGTTTCCATATCCACAAAGGGGCCTTGCATTCCCTAATGTATGTGTGCCTCTCGTCCTCTTGACCACTGAAAGCCATTGGCTCTGGGATCTTGAAAGGACAGAAGACCATAAATGCCACCAAACCCAATGCCTCCCTGGTTATAAGCCCTTCCGTGGTGTCCCTGAAGTCTCCAGGGAGGTGATAATCGTTATCTCCTACTGCTGCCAATTGCATCTTTCCAAAGGAAAGTTCTTCCTTATATGGAAACAAAATCTGGCTCCTGGCTTTCAACCTCCTGTCCCTCACTCTGCCTCTTCCACCCATATGAACAGCCTATATGTGTTTCACTGCCTTGGAATTTCTGTACGTGAGTATAGAGTATGGATTTCTGTAGGTGAGTATGTACGAAGCTGCCAAGATGTCAACCCTCGGGCATGCTGGCCGTTTCCTGACCCTATCGCACCGCTAACTCCCAAAGCATTTGTTGCCAACTTGAAATCCATCGTTTGGGGTTTTTCCAGGAAGTGTTACTACTAAGCAACCCATTCTGCACATGGACCGCTGGCCCTGTGGACTCCTAAGAAGTACCCTATTAAATCCCAGCCACTGAGGCTTAAGGAAAAAGACCTTTGAGACCCATTCTTTGGCCCCCTTTACCCCTCCCCATACCACATTCCCACCCTTTGTGGATGAAGCTCAGGGACACAGATCCCATTCCCAGCTCCCCAATCCTGCTCCCCTGTCCTGCCAGACCTAAAACTGTCTCCAGCATACAAGGTTGTTCCAAGGAACATTAAGAGAGAGTTCTGCAGGAAAAAAGGGCTTTGCCAGCTCAAGAGCTCTCAGAATACTAACTCTGGGAAACGAACTGGGGGTGGTAGAAGGGGAGGTAGGTGGGGGGTGGAGGTGACTGGGTAACGGGCACTGACGTGGGCACTTGACGGGATGAGCACCGGGTGTTATTCTATATGTTGGCAAACTGAACACCAATAAAAAATAAATTTATAAAAAAAAAAGAAAAAGAAAAAATGTTTTTAAAAAAGAGCTCTCAGAATAACAAAGCAGCCTGCAGGCAGGGCCAGCTTGCTGGCCACAGGGCTGGGAGCTCATGATCCTTGACACTCAGGCACCATTCTGGACACCATTGTCTTTACAAAATGGCAGGGGAGGGAAGGATGTTCTGAAGGCACGATTTGGATTCAAGGTACATGCAGCAGTGATGCCTCATGTTAGCAGCACGCTTTACCTGGTAACGAATGCTTTCCCAGACAGTCTCCTTTAATCCCTACTGGCACCTCCACTGGGAGTATGATACCCAATTTCATGACAGGAAAGAGAAGGCTCAGAGAGCTTAAGTATATTCCCAAGGTCACCCCACCAGTAAGTAATAAAAGAAACACTGGTTTAGAAGTTAGACTACTTGAGATTCCAGTTCCAACTCGGCTGCATACTAACCGTGTGACCTCTGGCCAACTGTTTAACTTTTCTAAACCTCAGTTTCTACACCTGAAAATTAGAGATTTAAATAGCCTTTCTGTCTCCTCTCAGAGCAGTTATGAGGATCAAATGAGATAATGAGAGTTAAAACCCTCTGGAAAACGGGAAGGCGGTCCAAAAGTGTAAGGGATTATTGTGTGATTACTGGTAAATGACTGTGCATTCCATTACAAATACAAAAAAGCAGTGAGGTCATTCTCAAGACAAAGAAACATTAAGGCTCTGGGAATGAAAGGGAAATGATTTGATGTTCTACAGGGTTCTGTCTCGATGCCTCTCACTGGCAGCTGAAGCCCAGCATCCACTGTCAGATTTTCAGCCGCCAAGTCACATGTGTCTACAGGACTGCTCAAGACAAGGCTCCCTTTTCAGCGACAGGAGAATGCCAGCCCAAAGAGAGGTAATAGAGAGGGACGTAGGAAAGACCCCCCCGAGATTCTCAGTTCCGGAAACGTGCCCTGTGATGTTCTCCTTGGAGAAGTTGTTAGAAACACAGGCTCCAGTCTTTCTGCAATAAGCCCATGGGGAAATAACATACAGTAATGAGCTATTTACCAGAGAGCACTAAGGAAGCTCCCAAGCATGAACCAACCAAGGGCACAGGATATTTCAAGTTGCAGATACCAAAATGATAGAAATCAGCAACCTATTAAATGTCCCAGCACAGCTCTCTGAGGCTCAACCTGGAATTCACGCATCCCAGGCCCCAGAGAGGTCCATTTGCATACCAGAGGTCCAGCTGCAGATCACCTGGGAGCGGAGGGTACCCAAGAAGCTCTGAGAGTGCAGTCACTGGTCTGGTTTCCTTCAGGCCTCTCCCAACACGCTAGTCATCAGGATTCTCTTCAATTTCTGCAAAGATCCAAGTTATCAATGTCATTTGTGGAGGGGCCAGACCTTCCCCAGAAATCCATTCCCAAGGCTGATGAGCACGCAGCTCTGCGATGATTGTTTTCAGGTTTGCATTTTATCATCTGCTTCCTTGTGTTTCACATTGGCGAAAGGCACTAAATTAATTTATCACAGAAACGTGTGAGTACCTATCAAGAGTGTGGGCCCGCATTCCCAGGGATGGCGCAGCAACGGGCTCTGAGATACAGACACGACTACAACATGGGACAAGAGGTGGCCAACTCGGAAAGTTCAGACTGCAGCAGGGTACCCTCAGTGGGAGGCACTGACCTCCAGGCTAGGTATTAAAAGAGGGTGGGACAGGGACAGTGACAAAGAACAATTCCAGGCAAAAGGAAGGGTCTGAGCCCAGCCAATGAAGAGCTATGTCCAGTGACCGGCTATGTGTGTAGGCCACCAGTGGGAGAGCTGGGCAGATGAGCGGAGGCAAAAACAGGAGACTCAGCCAGGGAAACTGAAGCCAAATAACTACTGTAGCCTAAGGTGATGAGATCGCTTCTGTTCCTGGAAACAGAGAGCTTTTGTGAGAAGCAAAGCACTGATCAGGTTTTCAAAAATGGTCTCTTTGACTCCTCACTGGCAAATAATCATAACAGCAACAACAACTATAATTTAATGAGTGAACAAACACTGTGCTGAGCACTGTACTGAGCAGGATGCAACCATCATTCCATTTAATCCCATCCATCCACCGCCCTGTGACCGAGGCCATCTCATCCGTTATACAGATGACGAAGTAAAGGCTTGAAGAAAAAGTAAACTGTGCAAGTTCCAGAGACAGTAAGTGGGAAAGGCCAGGATTAGCTAACTCCCAGTGCAAACTCAATCCCCTGCAATTCTACAACGCACTCTCCAACTTCTAACTTTCTTTATTAGACTCTCCCTATCCCATTTCTAGGAGATGAAGTCATCCTCACTTAGCTATCACAGATAACAATCATATGTATCACAAGCATAACCCTACAAAAACAGTTGACCGTATTCCTTATTTGCTTCTCTCTCCCCAGAAGACCCCTGGAGTCAGGAACCTTGCCTGTGTTCTTCTCAGCACTGTGCATACAATGAACACTCCAATAGTCACAGGTAGTCAGTGAGGCCATGTCTTTGAAGGTTGGGCCAGGGAAGTGACAACGCTGTCATTTCCATTCTATTCTTCACAGAAATGGAACTAATCTCAGTGAGGTTCCCCAGGTCTGAAGAGGAGACACAGCCAAGGTGAAGGACACAGGTCAAGGAGCGTGTGCACGGGGCAGCCTGAGGCTTCTGCAGCTACTCTGAGGCTGCATGACCCTGAACCTACAGCCAGGTGCCTGGAGGCCTCCGGACGAAGTAAACACAACGCACAGTTCCTTGAAAAGGGGGAAAAAAACGCAGGATCCCTTACAAGTGTCAAGGGTGCTAAGCCACTCTGTCTCTCAGCTTTGGTGAACAGACATACTGGGCTAGCACAGTGGTTTTTCAAACTTTTTTTTTTCTTTTTTTTCCCCCGGCAGCAGAGACTTTCCTTTAAACAAAATGCTTTGCAAATGCTTTCTTGTAAAAGTAGGTCGCAACAGAGCTGCTCAGGCTGGGCTCTGGGGCACCCCTTCCCCCCACTTTTCTCCCCACTTGCCATCTCCCCCACCCAGCACCCCAACCCTAACCCCACTCCTGGAGTCCTGCAATACTGTGTAACTCAGGAAAGCACAGCAGCCTTCACCGTACCTTCCGGCTTGGACAGTAGCAACCTCCAAGGTGAGCTATACCTCCTTAATTACCTCTGTGCTTTTACCAGGGAGACGGCTAATACGTGGGGTAGCAGGGAAAAAAAAGGGGGTTCTCAAGTGAAAAACCTTGGATTCTCAGTTCTGGAAATGTGCCCTGTGATGTTCTCCTTGGAGAAGTTGTTAGAAACACAGGCTCCAGCCTTTCTGCAACAAGCCCATGGGGAAATAAACGTGTTTTCAACTAGAAAGTTATTCATATCTCAGTAAGCCTCAGTTTTCTCATCTGTAAAATGGGAAATAATACTACCTACCAAATAAGTCTTTCATTAGAACTATCTAATGTGCATAAGCTGCTTAGTAAAATGTTAGAATAAATACTGTGTTATTGAACGCCTCATCTATAACTTTATCTAAGTTCATAGATGTAAAAGAGGTAGCACCATGTCCAGAGAAAAAATATGCTCAGGAAGACTGGGGCTCAATGCTTTCAAGGACATTTTCATCCTAAATAAACAATATGACATCAATAAAGAGCTAGACGGAGGAAAACGTTAGTTCTCCACAGCTCATCTTTGAAAAAGCTTACACTGTGTCTCAGGAACCTTGGAAATCCAAGGCCATTTTAGACTTCCAAGAAAGTCAATGAAGAGAGTCAAGGGTGGAGAGAGTGAGCTTGAGAAAACCATCGGCCCAGGTCACTGGCACAGGAGGAAGTGTTAGATTGGGCGTCCCAGCTTCCGGCATCTGTAACAACCAGCGGCTTCAAAAACCCCATCTGTCTCTAGGTCCCGATTTCCTTATCTATAAAACAGGGTCATGAACAATCCTGCCTGGTACCTCCCCTTAATTTGTATAGAACCAAAGAGTTAACGGGTATGAAAGTCTTGAAAATTTCTCAGCTGTATACCTATATTATCATTTTTATTATAACCTCAAGTAAAAAAGTTGAACCACTACAAAAAATAAATGTACTCATCTTAAGGCCCCTACTCCAACTGCATGACTCCCTGTATGTTGCCTGAGTTTTGCCCCAGGCTCCCTGCACATCCAGAAGGTGCTGCCAGCTTATCCCCACATCATCCCAGTTTTCCCAGTTGACGCCAACCAGTAATCTGAACTGCACAAAAAATAATGTCCAACAGCCCCCAGACCAGCATTCAGGATCTCCAGGATGAGCCCCCAACCCATCTTTCTAGCCACATCCCCCATTATATTGCTACATGAATCCCTGACTCCAGGCAAGAATGTACCCCTAATTCCTCCCAACCCCAAGATCTGGCCAAGTCTCCCCCCTACTGCTACACCTCCAAATCCGATTGCAAAATCTCTTTGCTGTGCAATGGGGAAGTGGATCCCCTGGACTAGATGGAGTATTCTGTGATTGAGGTGTGGCCAGCAGAGTCTTCACGCCCCATCCTTTCTCTGCCGACGGTCCCATCCATGTCTAGTCCAGAAACATCCATATCATAAGAAGAAGAAGTACTTCTGTATTTCTTTGCAGTCCCCCAATCTTTCCACAATCCCCCATCTTTTTAAATGCTTAATGGCAGACATGACCATGACACCTGTTTAACAAATGAGGAAGCTGAAGGTCCGTGATATAGTTAAGTAGCTGAGCCTGTAGCAAAGTTTGGAGCCTGTGTCACTACACACTCTCCCCCAGCAGCGGAGTGCAATCAAAACTCTGCCATAAAGGTGCTGGGCTGGCCTGCGGTGAGCTCGCTATGTGACCCAGGCAAACCACACTCCCTCCCTGGACCACCGCATCCCATACATCCACACCCTGTTTCTCTCCTCCTGAAGGGCTTCAGAATGAAACACTGGAGGGGTGCTAACAAGGTAGCATCTCACAGGCATGTTCAGTCAGTTCCGTCCCGAGTCCCGAAGCCCATCCTGAAAGGAGGAAGGAGGACTGACCCAAAGAACAAAGGACCCCCCAGAACTCTACGGGGTGGCGCAGGGACCACCACATGACAGCATCACCACTCAGACCAGCAAGAGCTCCCTTAGAGCAGCTGTAGCCATGGTCACAGGCACAGGAAGCTTGTCTGCAAACTGCTGGTGGGACTGATGATTTTTAATAAGCTCACAAGGCAAGAGCATTAATGCGGGCTCACAGTCCACACTTCACGTGCCTCATGGCCTATGGGCTCCACAAGGGAGGGCAGTGAGAGAGTCCCTCTCTCCTTCAAGATGCTTAAGACATCAGCTTCTCTCTGCAGTGTAGGCAATGAATGCACTACTGCCTGAGCTCCACCCTCTCATTTGATGTAGAGACAAGGTGCACATAGCAGGCCGCCAGTGTATTCTCCTAAAGTCCAAAGGCTGCCTGCCAGGCTCTCCCAGGATCATAGGATCCTATATCTGGCAAAAATTCAGATGCCAACTAGTCCAACTCCTCTAAACGACTTGCCTGGGGCATTCATTCCTTCAAAAAGGTGTCACTGGTGTCTACTGGAGACACAGTGCTAAGATAAGGCTAGGTTTCTGCTCCACAGACTTTGCACTAATGTTTTAAGTGGCTTCCCAATAGCAAGAGAGTAAGTCCAAGTGCTTTACCTAATACCTCAAGTTTCTTAATAACTGGCACTCAACCTTCTATTCTCACCATAAGCTAACTCTCCCCACTGCCACTCAGCACACATCCTTTGCTTGACTCAAACTGAACTCTTAGCTCACACTGTTCCCTTTACTTGACCTACTATTATTCCAAGCCCAAGATCAAATATAGATATCCTACATATCCTTCAAGGCCTAGTGGTCATTCCCAACAGGAATGAGATTGCTCGTTGAAGAAAGGCAGTTATTTCCACAATGCTGCATGCGTTACAGGACATCTAGCATCTCTGCCCCCACCCACTGAATGACAATAGTGCTCTGGCCTCCAGCACTGAGACAGCAAAAAGCACTCCATCACATCTGCACAGGTCCCTGAGAGAGATGTTACTGCCCCCCAACCGAGAACCACCCAACCACAGTCACCCTACGTGAAACCTGCCTTGTTTCTCAGTCCAGGTGGAATCCCTTCTCTTTGAGTTTGCTCAGCCTGCTGTCCAGACGTCAATCATAACCTTCTTGTAGTCTTATTATGTCCCTAGCTTAGTCATTCTCTTTCCAGTCAGGGCTCCATCCATGACTCTTATGGCCACAGCACCAAATCTAGCATAGTGTCAGGCTCATAGTAAGTATCTAATAAACATTTGTGAACAATGTAAACAAGACAACTGTCCAGGG